AGAAAAGCAAATATGACTTAGTCATGGACATAAAGCAATATCTTTGTAATACAGAATGGCAACAGCAAAAATAAATTTTTGTAGACATGGGAAAATAGTAATTTTTTATATATTCAGATGTTTTACTTTCAATTGGAATATAATTTTGATCCCATCTATATCATGCTCAAAAAGATGTAGCAAAAACAGGCGACAAAAGAGTAGGAATTTTGGAGCTCAGCATATTGAAAAAGAAAGATGACTTGACACTACTGAGTAGAAAACCAGTAAATAAAAGAATCAAAATACAGAAAGATGTGAATTACATAACTTGTTTCTGTTTCCCCAAGGACAAATCTAAGAGTCACTCTGGCATCAACTTGCTTGTTATTTTTTCAAGTCTTACAATTACAGAAGCAGATAATTGCTTAGATTGGAAAAGCCCTTTAAGATCATAGAATCACAGAACGGTCTGGGTTGGAAGGGACCTTAAATCATCCAGTTCTATCCCCCCTGCCATCAGCAGGGACACCTTCCACTAGACCAGGTTGCTCAAAACCTCATCCAACCTGGCCTTGAACACTTCCAGGGAGGAGCAGCCACAGCTTCTCTGGCCAACCTGGGACAGTGTCTCGCCACCCTCACATTAAAGAATTTCATCCTAATATCTAATCTAAACTGACCCTCTTCCAGTTTAAAGCCATCACCCCTTGTTCTATCCCTACCTGCCTTTGTAAAAAGTCCCTCTCCAGCCTTCCTGTAGGCCCTCATCGAGTCCAATCATTAACTTCACTCTGACAAGTCCCCGACCAACCCATGTCACTCAGCACTATGTCTACACAACTCTTCGATCCCTCCAGAGATGGGGTCTCCACCACTGCCCTGGGTAACCCCTTCCAATGCCTCAGAACCCTTTCAGCAAAGAAATTCTTCCTCACATCCAATCTCAACTGCCCTTGGCACAACTTGAGGCCATTTCCTCTTGTCCTGTCACTTGTTCCTTGGTTGAACAGATCCACCCCCACCTCTCCACACCCTCCTTTCAGGGAGTTGTAAAGTGCAACAAGGTCTCCCCTCAGCCTCCTTTTCCTTTTATATTACCATCTATATGCACCCACTAAAGGACATAATAGTAGAAAAAATGTTAAACAGAACCTGGAAAAGACTAAACAACAGTAAATATCTGAAACAGTACTGGTAACTTCCAAACAGTTTACAATGGCTAAACTGCAACTTGACAAATAGAAGGAGTGAAAACAATGAAGTACAAACCATGAGGAGACTGAGGAGGAGGAGTAGTACTAAAGGGGAGTGGCATTTGTCATTGCCTAGTGAAGCTCTGAACTACTCCATAAGCTACATTAAAAAGCAAAACGAAACTTCACTGACTTAGCTAGCATTATTTATTGAGTTCCTATCACAGCACATAACCACGGAGCGCCTAACTGCTTCTCATTTCTTTTCCCATTTTTAAACTAACAGAATTAAAGATGCAGATCACACAGAGATACCAGAACCACGCACAGATTATCGAAGCAAGAAAGAAGTCAGTGTTTGGACAAGCCTCTGTCAGTCACTACTTTATATAGTTCTGAAAAATCTTCTGGAATGTAAACTATAAGATATAGCAAAAACCAGTGGAAACTGTCAGATCTGTTAGTTTTCTGTGCAAAAGTTGTCCAGACAAAGAATGGAAAACATTAGCTCTTCACGCAGACTACTGGCTTATCCTCAGGTGTCTCTGGGAGCTCATGCTTTCTGACAAGGAGACTCTGCTGCCTGGGAAAGATGCTAGTAAGGACGTGCTTCACAAACAGCTAAAAAAAAATAATCAGAAGTAAGAAGGACTGAGGTGCTAGAAGAGATCACCAGTTGCCGAGAGGGATATTCATGGACTCCACACACGATTCAATGTGAATACTCCGGGAGACCTTTATTATTGGTTACATGATCACTGATATACTCTTAAGCTGCTAACACACACACACACACAAACAACTCTTCATTGGTTAATAAGCTACTGTTCACACGCCTGGTTACAATACTTGATTGGATAAATCCACCTGTTCATGAGGCATTCTTTTTACTTCTGACTAGTTACATAAGAAGTTTTCTTATCTTGTTTTTCTTGCATTCTTTCTCATGAATCTATTTTTCACCCAAAGTCAAGACAAGGCCGAAGCCACTTGCAGCTTCAGCTCTTAAAGCGCCAACAACCAGTACAGTAAATTCAGTAGAAATTCAGCAATTTTTCTCACAATCCTTTCTGCCCTCATGCACATATCCTTGGCAGGGGGTGAGGGAAAGGGGCACAGGCACCAGAGTTAACTCAGATCACGTTACCCTGTCCCCTCAAGCCACCAAGGTTCCCTCCATCTTTTCCTTGTTTCAGCTCTTCAGACCCATTAAAGGTTCTGCTGATCAATAACAACTGACCAATGTATGACCCAGTGAGACAACTGTACAAAGGAGTCTCAAAATACCCAACACTGTCTTTCTCTTTCTGCCTCAGTGGAAACATAACCCAACAAAATGACATGATCATATACTTAAAATAGTGAAACAAAAAATATAGGTTGACTAAAATACTGCTTTTACCTGGGGAGACACTAAATGGAAAAGACAGGAAAATACAAAAGATGGCAGAAGCCTACAGGACTCTGCAGCACTGACTGGAACCTGAATGCCACAAAACAGTTAAGAGTTTGGGCACAGATATCATTGCTGTTTTCAGTCACTGAGGAATTGAGATGGTAAAAAGGTTATCTTGCTATATACACAGAGAAGAAACATTCCCAGTCATGCTGGTTTTTATGTTTACTTTTTATGTTTTATGTGTTTTTAGGTGAAAGCAGTCAGGAAAATTTATGAAATGGATCAAAAATGATGCAATAAATATCGTAATTACTGTGATTTACCTGCTAAAACTTCCTATTAAACATGTAGGCAAACAGATCAACAAGGGTACTAAATTCTCACACATTATGATGTTAAATCTTTCATTAGAACAAATTATTCATTCTTCTTTATTTACATATTATTAAGTCTGATCATTTATCAATTAAAGATCTTTTCTCTTTCCTCATATTGTATTGTATTTTCTGTTCTGATCCATTTCACATTCACAAAAGCCCAACTATAAGAAGCTGACATAAAGCCACCAGCACTTCAAGAAAATAGATGGCATTTATGTTGCTGCAGTGTGTTCCACAACATAAAAACATACAGGAGAAAGTAGTAGAAAAACTTTTCATGTTTTTCAATCGGCATATACAATACTGTTTATAAAACTGTATTTGTTAGCTCTTTTGTCCACCAGATTTATATATGGAAACACACTGCAAGGTCATAATGCAGTTTATCACACCTGTGGCTCCAAAACAAAGACAAAATCCCAAAGCAAAACAAACAGAAAAACCCAAACACATTGTAAGTTTTGTTTACCAATTTTGAGTAGGAAGAATTGCCATCATCCACAAAAACAAGGCTTCCCAAATTGGGAATATTTTATGGATATGTTTAAAAACTACACAGTAAAAATTCTCGCATCTCCACACCCGCAAAAATTCAACTACTTTCATGCAAAAAAGAATGAAACACTCTTCTTTAAATGACAGCCATAAACTCTTTATATCCCAGATGGATCATCACTGTTGTAGCTTCTGTGAATTACAGATGAAGACTTGATACCACATACAAATACTTTTTACAACATCCTATTAAAGACCTCCAATAGCTCCCTCAAGTAAAGGTCATCTATTCATTCTATTTCTAGTCACAATCAAATCAATGAAAGACATTTTTTCTATATAAACATTCACATCTCCCTTTGACACAAAACTTGCTTTTGTTTATGGATGTCTGTATAAAAGCCTTCCCTCTCCAACAGATTTCAACAACCTTTAGAGTTCAATCCTGGCCAAATATGTGTATAATAAAACTATTATAGCAGTTACTACTTTAAAATATGATTTAATTTACACCATGTGCATAAAGTCTTTGGAATTCCTTTAGCATTACTTTCACTAGCACACCAACTATATGTACATTATATAATTAAACCATCAAATAAAATAAATAGTCCTTTATAAAAGGACTCTGGTAGTTGATGAGTCAGCTATCTCAACAAAAGCCTACTTTTTTTTGGAACTTTCAAGATAAATATAAATAATTTTTAAATGTACCAGAACAGAGGTGAGCAAAGCATCTGGAGGAAATGTGGAAAGCTCTAATGTTATGTCTAGAATAATATAAAAGACTAGTTCTGAGTCAGACTGGAATTTCTTAACACACTTAATCCTAGCTCCAAGCAAGGGCCAAGTGCTGATGATGTGTATGAGAAATAGTCAATTTGAAGAAACATTCTCATAATATTCCACAATCTGCAACATAAAGACTTCTCAAATTTTTTAGGAATTTTTCCTTATATTACCATTCTTCTTTTGATTTTTTAAAAATAATTCAGATATTTTTAAACATTCTAAACGTTTCTAATGTGCAAAGCATAACAAACTGAACAACTCTTTTTTTCCAACCATTTTAAAACATAGAATATTAGCAGACATCTGAAAATCCAAATCATCAGTGTATCCAATTCATCATTAATTCATAACCCAAAGTCTTTACAAAGTGCAAGCTAATCCAACAAACTAGGGCTCTTCAGACAGTAGAAAGAAGTGAGCAGCAAGAAGTCGTAGATAATTCTCTGTAATAAAGAGCATAACACACCTCTTTCCAACATGCTGTAACTACAGTAAATATAAGCCATCAGTCTGTTAACTTCATCGTGTGTATATATATATATATATAAATGCAAGATTATGTTTAGAAACATATACTTGCAATACAGATTGTAAACTGTCTGTTAAATGAAATATGTTTTTCACAAACAGCCTCTCTAGTGAATGCATTATAGATATTATTTATGCTAAAAAAACCCAATAACATATACAAGGTTTTGATATTTCATTATTAATTAGCTTCAAATCATTTAAAAACTAAGTTATTACCATTGAACTCACCCATAATAGTTAAAGCTGTGGCTTTTGTTAAGTCTTCTTTCATTGACTCTATTATTTCTAGATTACCACCATCCAAGTTGCATCTATTTATGGTTCCATTTCCTGAACTGATCCAGTAAAGTTTGTTCTCCCCATAATCTATCGATAAACCTGTAATTAATGCATATAACTTTTACTGTGGCTTGAATAGATAACATACATTTAGTGTTAAGCTATTTTCTAATAACAGTGTATTTAAGAAATACATATATGCACACACACACAGTGATGTTATCTATCCACTCATCCAATCAAACTTTAAAAAACAATCAAGAAAACCAAACAAACTTGGCCATTTACAGTGAAAAAACCCATGCTTTTAAAAGGATTTCTGCCTTTTATTTATCTCAGCTTCTACAGAAATCAATGAGTGACTGACTGGTGACACGGCATTATCTGGCAATGAACAATTACTTGAACGAAGAGAGGTTCTAAGTGAGGTCATTAACTACTAGTAAATGCCAACTAGAAACCATCATTTATATTCTAAAATTATGAATACATAAAGACTTACAAAACAAGTTACTTTTGTGATTCGGAACTAGAAAAAGTCTGTTCTCTCCCTGCATGCACAGCCCTCCACATAGAATGCTGAAATACCAAAACCTAATATTATTTCTCAATAAATTTATAGTATTAATTTTAATTTCACTTCACAGTGAACTGACCTCATGATCGATTCATCGGAGTTAGAAGCAAGAGAACTGCAGAAATAAATATACTTACAAAATAACCTATTAAACAAACAAAGCATATAATTTTCAAGAAGTAAGAGCAAATAATGAAGAGAAAAGGTATTTCAGACTTCTATAATCCTTTAAAAATGTTCAAGTAATTGTAGCAGGAGATTTTCAACAGCGAAATACACTTGGCATGGTGACAATACATGTCATAATAATTTGCTTTGGTATTAGACTTTTCCCAGAACTCCTGTTAGGTATTCACCAGCAAGTTGCCAAAAAATACTATATTTCACTCCAGAGGTCAACCTCTTGATATCACAGAATGGTGGGGGTTGGAAGGGATTTCTAGAGATCATCTAGTCCAACCCCCCTGCCAAAGCAGGTTCACCTAAAGCAAGTTGCACAGGAAAGCATCCAGGTGGGTTTTTAACATCTCCAGAGATGGAGACTCCACACCCTCTCTGGGCAGCCTGTCCCAGTGCTTCAGCACCCTCACAGTAAAGAAGTTTTTCCTCATGTTTAAGTGGAACCTCCTTGTGTTCCAGTTTGTGCCCGTTGCCTGTTGTCCTATCACCACCACTGAGACGAGACTGGCCCCATCCTCTTGACACCCGCCCTTTAGATATTTATAAGCATTAATATGTTTGTAAGAGTACTGTACAATTGACATCATACAGTACTCTTCTTCCATCATGTAAACTGCTCCTTTGTGGAAAGTCAGATCTATTTTCAAAATCCTGCCAAGAGAAAGCCATGCCACATGCTGCAATACTTATAGCTGGCAACATGCCACCACTTCCTGACACACATTTGACATAGTAGGCCTAAAGGTTTCTGCTTTCTAAGCTTTTCAAAAACAGTTTTCCAGTTCCTTTGCAGTTACTGATATTTTTCCCCTCTCTGCAAGTGTGTCACCCAGAAAAAAACTACCCAGCTCGAGAGAGGATAAGGATACTGAGTAGTTGCTTCAAAAGAGATTGATCTTGCAGCATCTCTGCACTTATGTGTTTTCATGCTTGCACAACGTGCTCAAAGCAAACAGTGCCATAGACCTTGGAGACAAGCAGCACTTGCAGTACTTTGTTCCAGCACAGGAAACTCCCAGGAATACAGATGAACCTTGCTATAGGTTACAAAAGTAATACGCGAGTACAAAGGTTTCCTTACTCTGAGATGGATAACGTTTGCTGTTCCCTGTAAATCCCGACTGCTCCCAGTCAGCTGTTCACTGATTTCACCTAGACAGAACTATTTATGGGGTTGCTATAAATGCAATCTGCACAGCAATTGCCATGTTATCTTGTCAGCTTTTCTATTTCTTCAGATATTAAACTGGTGTTTCTAACACATGGGTATTCAATTTAGACAGCAGCAACTGGCAGAAACAACATTCCTATCTCCTTCCACCCACGTCTACCACATTTTTCTTCTGAAAGTATTTTCCTGTTGCGATATTCCACCTATTACCAAGTTTTGTGAAAACATATCATTTCTAATGGAGGCAGAGCGTGTTTATTTAGATTTTTTTCAGGAATTGTCCTGTTCTTACTACTGAGATAGGTAATTTACTAGCCATAAAACAGCACAGATGCTAATGATGCATTCTAATGTGGGTGACCCAGCTGCCAAAGTCAACCCGAACATATGGACTGTAGAAAAGAAATATTTATTGGCTGTGTAAGCAGCTACTGGGTGGCAACACTGTGTGCCCACTGGAACACTGAATGGAAAGCACTGGTCATTAACTGACTACCAAGAAGTATCTATTTCAAGTATATTCCACATACATTCTAAAAGACTTTTTCCATAAAAGTAAGTCTATTCAACCTAAAAGAAAACATATTACAAGTAATCCTGTGCTTGTATATAATGATAAATCACATCCCCAGTGTTTTAAAACACTAATGTCTAATAATCTTATTTTATAGTTCATCTATATCTTTTACAACATCAGAAGAGGTTTCAAAAAGGCAGTGTCCATCAAAAATATTGAACAATATTCTGTCAGATGATTTTAAACTGCTTTAATTATTTCAGTTTCTTGTGTTTCCTTTTCTAGTGATACCTATCATATTGCATTTGCCCTAGATTTCTAAGAAAAATATTATTCTAATTTACTTAAAAGTATTATTTTTTAAGACCATATACAGACACCACGTATGATGAATTTGGACAACTGCTCCAGAGGATTTTAAAATATTGGTCTCAGAGAAATCTATTGTGTTTTTTTAAAACATATTACTTAGGCCATCACTATTTTCACATACATTTTCCAATTTCCTTACTCATATTTACAGAAATATGCTACTATTTATAAAGTATATCACAAAGGTTATTCCAGCAATTGATATACAGAGGTTCCAATCTTAAAGCCATATATGTAATGAGATCTTAGCTTCCACTACCAGAAAATCAAGTCTGATATTTTAATTTGGTGCATCACTGAAGTTCAAGGAAATTACTATTGACAGCAATTTTTGTACATCTACTGTATGTTCCTGTAACTGTATTTTTACCTCTGGAAATGTTCTCTAAAAAGCAGTGGAAGCTTAAAGAAATAGTGTGTTCCAAGAACATTAAAGATGGTATTAATTCATACTACCTAAATCAATCAAATGTCATTGCTATTACAGCTCAGATGAATAGTCTACCTGATACCAGTGAGATCATACATGTCCATGAATGAAAAACATCACAAAACCCACATGGATTTGCACATGCAGCATTTAACAGTACTGATATGCTTACAGGGGAAGGAAAAAAAAAACAACCCAAAAAACATCTTACTGTTCCACTGTCTATGGATTTGCACATGCAGCATTTAACAGTACTGCTATACTTACAGGGGAAGGGGGGGTGGGGGGAAGAAAAAAGGAAAAAATAAAGGAGTACTTACTGTTCCACTGTCTGTTTGGTTCAGTGGCTTTACTGCTACTCAGAACAAACTCAATGACAGAAATCTTAAGGACTGCAATTTTGGATCTTGTGATCTACGATCACAGGATATTCAGTGCAAAATGGTGCACACAACCAGACTTCTTAATATTGTCCTAGTATTATTAAATGTGTTTACCTTCACCTTAAAATTAGTGAGTTTACTACTCTTTTTTTTCCTCTAGATAAATATGTAACTGTCTCTTCAAGCGGACAGATAGAAAATGAAATCAACAATAAAATGGTTCCCCAGTAATTTCTAAAAAAATTCTTTGAATTTAGGGTCTAAAATGCATGTTGTGTTGCTCTAATGTAAAATTTATTTAAATAGTTAACTACTTAAGTAATTTTTGCTTCTGCTTCCTTAATGCATACAGTTATGAAAACTCATAAATGTTTTAAAATGTAATCACTTTATTGATGGGTCATTAATAAGGCAAAAACAATTGACGTAACCACTTCAACTCCCTAAAAAACAAAATCACAAAAAGAAAGAGACCTGAACCAAAACCAAATAAATAGTGCATATAGGGAGAGCATTTTTTTTTTTTCCTTTCAGAAAGTGTCATAATTTATCATCACCAATGCTATTAATTCTCAAACACTAAAACTGAGGTTAAGTCATTATATGAAAAGTATGGTTCAATTGTTTCTGTTTTCAGTATGTGAAAAGTTGATCCAAATTACTTTTTGATCATGCAGCTGGGATTCTGGTGAGGGAGGCTCTACATTTCCAGTCAAAATATCCATACCTTTTAAAAACCCTACTCTCCACATTTTTTATACCCATGATCTTTAGATACAAATGGGTTCTCCTTCGCCTTCAGTCTATACAACTACTGTAATCCTGGAAGTTAATAATACTATCATTAGTGCACTACAGTAAATTTCAATTAGAATGGGCCAAAAACATCTGAAATTGCAAAACACAAAAGTACATCAGTGTTTTCCATGTCTTTATGCCTGCTCTTATCACTGCTATATAGTATATGAAAAAGACAATGGTATACTTAAATAGCATTTCAAGATAATGTCCATAATATAGCACTATCAAATAAAAAAGAAACAAGAAGGGTATTTACCAACAGGATCTTTTTGATTCTGAAAGAGTATTTTGCTGTTGCTGCCATCCATGTTTGCCATGTTAATTGTGTTACCATCCGTCCAGTAGAGCTTGCTGAAGAAGAAAATGAAAGTATTTCTAATGCTGCTTTGTGTACACAGTATTTTTAATGCATCAGTAGTCAAAACATTCATAAGTTTAGAAGCAGGAAATAATACAACTAATGATTACATGATTTAATAAACAGTAAGCTTTGGAAGGAAAGCAGTAGTCAGTTAAGAAATTTTCAGCAAAATCTTTCAAACGTATGCAATCACTTTAAGTTTGAAAGAAAACAGAATGAATAAACTCAAAATCTAAACAAAAAAGAAATCTGATGAGCTTTACCATAGTTTGTTTATTAAAACTACATATATCTTACCCTTTTACTGGGTGAACTGCAAGACACTGGGGTTTATCAATTCCATGGATGATTGAGGTTTTCAAGGAACCGTCTAAATGTGCCACGTTAATTTGTGTTTCATCAAATTCTGAGCTAATCCAATACAAATTACGTGATATCCAATCCACTGCAAGACCTCTGATACTCTGGATATCTGCAAAAAGTGAAAGCGGTTTTTCTTTTGATTTTCTTTCTGGATTACTCTCATTCTTGGAGAAAAAAATCAAAGCAATTTCTTTTACAGTTTGTTGACAACATTGTGCAATATTCTATTCAGATGTATTTATAACCTAGTTGCCAAGATTTAATAATCATTATTTTTCTTCTTGGGTCTGATACGTTTGCAGTTAAGAACACGGAAATTGCACTGAAGATATGAGAAAACCTCCATAAATACTTCTTTAAAAATTAACATAAAACCTACTGTCCAAAAATAATTATCAGACTGACAGAGAATTTTTGTAGTTTATTTTTCTACTTAAGAAAGCATTTATTACTCAATGCACTATTAAAAAGTGTGGGAGTTTTTTTTGTTTGGTTGTTTTTTTTTTAAGGAATGATGATGTAGAATGAGTTATCCTCCACTAGAAAGTTCAATAATCATATTTAATAAACATTAACAGTACTCATAACATAAAAGCAAGGTTCATATTTCTTTAGGTGTGAGTTATACTTTACATATAGAACATTAAGTGGCTTTCTAAAACAAAACTGTGCTGAAGTTTAAAAGCCTGCTTCCCTCTTTATCACCAGTAAGGCTCAGTACACAATACCTGAATTAAAACCAGTGGTGTGTAGCATAGTTTTAAAGTATGTAAGTAGGTAAGTAGCTACATTACTGAAGAAGGTTTTTTTAGTTTTATTTCTGAAGATTTTTGAAGACTGCAACTTACTCCCTTGTTTTCCTGGAAACAGCTAAACATCTGTCAGTCGATGGGAAGTAGTGAATGATTTCTTTGCTTGTGCATGTAGCTTTTGCTTTTCCTATTAAACTGTCTTTATTTCAAGCGATAAGTTATCTCACTTTTGTACTTCTAATTCTCTCCCCCATCCCACTGTGGGGACTGAGTGAGCAGCTGTGTAGGGCTTAGCTGCCTTCTCGTGTTCACCCATACCACTAGTATTACCTGAGATAGCAAAACACGAGTAAGGTAGGATTGATCCGGTAGCTTTACAAGTGGCTTTGTATGTGACAGTCTTCCTTAGTAAGACATTGATTTTAAAAAATGTTAATATATTTTAATATCTGCCTTAAATGCTGCTCAAGATCTAGATACCAACATGCTGCTCTGCCTTGGCATAGCAATGGTTCATACTGGCCAGCATCTTTGTAGATGAGGAAACAGGCCAAGGATGATTTAATGATTTCATGAGAGTTCATATTTTGTACATTATCAATGTGGTTACTTCCACTGATAGAATTATTGTCAATGACAAACTAACAGGGATGTGGCTGTGGACTCGCTTGCATATACATGAAGTCAAATGGTGATGGGGTATTAGGAAGTTTGTCAACTTTAGAGAATGCAAGAGACAATGAGTACATAGCCTTGACCCATTTTAAACTGATCCCCTGCCTTTTTCAGTTTTTTGGTTGGAGGAACTAGAAAACAAGCATTTCACACTCTTAAAAAGATTAAAGTATGACTTTTGCATCTTTGTGACATTGGCGTAAGACTTAATCCAATGAGAATCCCACTAGTATGTGCTTACAAAGCTTCTTATGTTCTTATGAAACATATAAAAATACAACTGTAAGCAAATGAGATCATTTACACATAAGTAGCCTTTATAAGGGTTTTGATGCACCAGAACATTGTAATTTTGTAAATTTTATATATACGAAATTACATCTGGCACAAAACCCCCCCAAAACTCCACCACAGAAGCTACCATAATAAAAGAATATGAAAGAATGCTGATAAACACTAAAACATAGTATATTTCTTTAAGTTTCTTTACATTTCTTCACAAGTTTTGTGATATTTCACTATAAATTTTATATATTAAACAATGTTTTTATTCTACTACCATTAAAAAAAACCCCACAAAAACCCAAAACAAGAACCAAAATAACTCTTTTAGGTACCTGAATTCATGATGTAACAAAGAGCTCTAAGGCACTCTAAACCTTGTTCTCATTACTCGTACCAAAAAATTTCTCCAATTGTTAACAAAGTTGTCTGAGATAGCAGGGTAAAAATAAAGATACCCACAGAAAATAAATAAATTAATAAATCTACATAGTCAAGTGGTGATACTGCTATATTTCTCCAATGATTTAGCAAAATATGATAATACAGAACAAATTTCTTCTAAAGTGACACCAGAGGTAGAGATTCAATGAATTTTCTGAAGTCCTCAAGTAGTCAACTAAAAAAGTATTTTCTTTATTATTATTATTATTTGTTCTCAAAAGTAAAAAAGGTTTGATGTTACAGAAGTGAGCTACTTCTTTTCTTATCTTCCCCTTCAAACAAACATTCGAGGAACCAAAGTTTGCAAAATTTGTCTCCAGACAGTCCCCGTCAGACAGTTTTCCAAGTAGGTGGGTATATTACAAAATAAAAGAACATCATGTGCTGCCAAAAGAGGAACTGACAGTGGTTGGAAACAAAAACCCACCACTAGCAAGGACAACAAATGGTATCACTTTAATACTGGAACTACTGACATAGGGCTGAAGCCATCACGTAAAGGCTTTACAAAACATTAAGTTTTTGTATTCCAAGTACAGTCTCACAAAAGTGTCATAACAACTAAAGTGTTAATGACAGAAAAAACTGCCAGTCATGATTTTCCAATTGTAATATTTTAAGTTTCCTTTTATTGCTCTAAGTAATCTATAATGAAAAAGCTCAGTAAAAAGGAAAACCTGAATTGTAGTATTTTAGGTAACTGAAGTAGCAATGACAAAACAAACATGTACAGGATTCAAAGACAGAATCAAAAGACCCTACTTCCTCAGGGCATTCAAGTACTGCAAAGAGGTCGATGCCATCAGTTTGAACATGACGTGTTGCAAGAGGACAACAGGTAAAAGCAAAACACCCGTATCACCGGAATTACAAAGCTGCCATAGTATGTATTTCACTGATGGTGACAAATCTGAAAGATCTACATGGACTGGAAAGAAAAAATAACTTTGATGGAGCTAATCACTTTGCTAGGTCAGCACAGATAGCCAAAAGAGACAGAAAATCCACATGAAATTCTTCAATGCAAAGCTATGCCAGGATGCTGTTATTTTTCTGCTTTTTGTTTTTAATCTTTCTTCTTTCCCCAGAAGACATTATTTCCATTGTTTACTACACGTTCCAATATTGTATGAAAGCAATGTTACAATTACATCCCAATTTATTTTAATAAAAATGAATTATGAATCAATAAAATTAACTAGAAGCCTAAGTAAAATTGTGCTTTCTTTTTCTTTAGATCAATTATCCAATACCAGTGAAAGGTACAGCTAAAAAGAACTTGCACACTCATACTTTAGCATACTTATAATACCCATTTACCTATAATGAGTTATTTTTACTTCAATGTTATGCTATTTACCTCTTGAAATAATGGTTTCTAAGCCAGTCCCATTAATGAAGGCACGCTTGATGGTCTGTGTTTTCACATCAGTCCAGTATAAGCGTTCCTCAGCAGCATCAAAATCGATGACTGTCACATCGTCAATGTCAGGAACAGTGAAGGCTGTGATGAAGTTGAAGTATGGGTTTTCTATGTCCACCCCTCTTATTTCTGAACGCCTCGCATAAAGAAGAAATTTCTTCCTTTCTGTTAGAAAAAAGGAAAACATCACTCCTCATCCTCTTCACAACATTGGTAAGTCATTAATTTAAGATCACTTTACAAATGTGTAAATAAAGTTTAGATGAAATGATTTAACATCTCCAGAAAACCTGCAGCCACTTGAATAAAGTATGTTACAGAGCATAAAAATCACAGGAACAAGATATTAATTCTGGACACTGGACAAGAAGTTACTACGTGAAAACACAACATGGCCTTGTGTAACTCCCAAGAAAAATTTAAATTACATTTAAAAATTGTACTCTAGTAATCCAAATAAAAAAAAAAATAGTTTCATTTGCACATCATAACAGATATTAACATTTGATATCTCAGGAGAACACAGTATCACTGTAGCAGGGAAGTTTTGCAAAAAACAAAACTCATGAGAAATTCCACAATGTACGTGCAAAGCAGTGAAAGGCAAACAGGTGGAACAAAAAGAACACATTGATTGTTCTAATTTAGGCATTGACTAAGAAAAAGGGTGATACATTAAAGGTAAAACAGAACTCTTTTTAAAAAAAAAAAATCTCAGAACTCTAAATTATTGGAGCAAGAGTTTGTGAACAAACAGTAAAGGTGACTTTTTCCCCTGCATTACCCTTGATATGACAATATATATTTTTTGCATTTCCTAAACATTAGGAAATCAACGCTGAAAACAATAATGTATTACAAGGTTTTACAGATAAAAGACATAATTTTTTGATATTTCTAGGGCTTTTATTGCTTAGAAGTGTTTATTGAATTTTTTTTTTAAATAAAACTCCCCTTCAAGGCTGCATGTCTAATATCTGCTATTCATTTTATTTTCTTAATCCTTGAAAAATGAAACTAAGACAACTTTAAAAGAACAGGTAGAGATTTAAGCTATTAAGTATGTTCTTATTATTCAGCTTACCTGACTCACCATTTTCTGATGACACACTTTACAGTATAAATCTTTCTGTTTTGCAGAGATAAGTTTCACTAACGTATAATACACATAAGCAACAGAAAAAATGGCTGTGGTAATACAAATCAAAGCTCCACACATCTCATATATTAGAGTAAGTTCCCAATTCCCAAAAAGTAGATATCCCTTTAAAATATATAATTGAAAATGCACTGTAGAGATTGTTTTTAAGCTTATGTATTTTAATTTGTACAGTTAAGAATTCTAAAATCAATACAATTCTCTGGTTTGGGGAAGAAAACTTACCGTAACATGTTTTCTTGTCTAAAGCCAGTTTCATCAGATGTGGACAGGCACAAGCAGCACTTCTGTTGTGATTGATCAGACACATGTGAGAACATGGACCTCTGCCCTCATTAGCAGCACATGGATTTGAAGCTAAAATTGAATAATGAAATACACAAAATATAAAACCACTTTTTGGAACTAAGGTTCATCAAACTAGCATAAGCTACACCACTGAGAAAGAGGTGAAAATTCTGTCTGAAGACAAAGTCAGCCTCATTGATTCACTGAGCTTGTACTCTTAATATTTTATTCCAGGCTAATATTCAACTCTTGCCCAAACATACATTTTTAATAGTTGTTGTAGGGGACTTTTTGTTTTTTCTTTTTGTTAGTACAGCGGCAAAATTTATCATTGTAACTTCATGAAGGCACTGGATAAAATTTTCCCACCGAGATGCTAATTTTGCAGTCTATTTATAACATCTAAATGTAAAGAACTGGACACTCCTGGCCAGGACACGTGGTATAAAGAAATGTTACTATGATGAGGACCTGAACAACAAATTTGTGAAGACCCAAAGCTTAGATTATGAGATGAATTTTTGCAAATTCAGCGTTCCCTCTCAATTTGATCTACCTACTAGAATATTAGTCGGAAATCTCACATGCAAAAATAATTTGAAAAAACATGCCAAAATATTTCTACTTTTCTCAAAGAAAAACCTCTCCTAAGTGTAGCTTTTTTCAAGTAGTTTCCTATAGTTCAATGATTGAACAAGACATACTAAAATTGCTTTAAAGAGCAGAAAGCAAGCTGACTGGAGGAGACTTCTTAGTTTTACGAAACCTAGACACTATTCTTAGTATCTTCATTCATAATTATACACATGCAGTTCCAGAGCACCCCTGAAGAGACATTCCAAGCATAAACAGAAAGTAATGTTGATTTTTCCATTTACTAAAAAAAACCTTAGAAAATTATCAGTGATGAAAAGCGAAGAAGGAATGACTGACTCATAAAGACAAACTTATAATTAACAAAATCAATTAGCTTAGAATATATTCCTCCAACGCTGTGCTAGCCTGCAATATAAGTAATTAGATAACTAGAGAAATCTGATGTTTGGATTTCTTTGCAAAATAAATTTATCTCAAACTCAAGCACTAAAATTTGAAGACAAGCTCAAGGTTTGCTTCATTGAACCATTTATCTTTTTCATTAATGCACACTTCCTTAAATTTATCCAGCAACTCCTGAATCCTTTAACTACTTACTTGTCTGATCAGTACTACAGAAGAATGAAACTTACAAAACCTTAGATAAACAGGTTAACAAAATTCTATCCAGCATCTTCCATCCTTCTATCAAAAACTCACAGGCTTTTACAGTTTTCTGTGAAGTCAAACACTGGCAGCACTGGAGGCCACCCAGCACCTGCCCAGCCTCTGCAGTTTCTTCTGCTATTCCAAGGTTTATTACAAAGAAGCATTCTATACCCTCTCTGTCAGCTCTTCCAAAGGTCAGCTGGGCCAATAAGCTCAAAAAATATTGATTTTTGGTTAATGACTTAATATCTCCTTTGACCGCTAATGGACTGTAAACACCTTATTATCTTATGTGATAATTATTTGATTCTATCTTTCCCAAAAAATTACAATAGAGAAATGTTTATTTAACATTATAACTTTTCTTATACCTGTAGTAACAATGTGAAAAACTCTGTGGTGATAAGAAATGTGAAGCTGAGGAAAAGAGCCTGAAGTTAAGAAGGTAAAGCACCATAATCTAAAAATTATTTATACCAGCACATATATATATATATATATTCTTTTCATATTCATACGGCTTTCACTGAAGAACAGCTAAGCCCATTCTTTGCTTTCTAATAAAACCTAATTCTTTTGAAGGCAAATAGCTATGCTATTGCTTTCACTCTCAAAAAATTGTCTCTTTTATTTCCCTGTGCTAGTTCTAACACTTCCTTCTATTTCTATTGTGAATAACCACATAGCCATTCCTTATTAACCTTCTCCATGCCATTTATGATTTCACAGACTGCCATCATATAGAAGCCTGTCTATAAGCTGTATTTCAAGAAGCATCAGTTTACCTGTCCTCCTACAAAAACCTTTCCCATACTCTTGATCAGCCTGTCAAGCTTTCTTGGTCTCTTTTACGTGATCTGTATACAGTATCCAAGCAATGGGAATGCTATGGATTTATCCAGCATCACAGTTCACTCCCTGTGGTTCTTTATTCCTTTCCTAATCATTTCCACCAATCTATTTTCCTTGTGATCATGGCAATCCACAGAACTGGCATTTTCACCAACTGCCCAGTCTTTTGCATTATGTAATTGATTTCCACTGCTGATTGTTTGTCAATCTATTTCTCTTGCAGCACTGCACACGTCATGCTTTGTCATGGTGTTTCTTCTTGATCGTTCTCTAAAACATTATTTAAACAAAATGTTTGTTTTTCTTGACCAGTAACCCTTGAAAAACCCCTCAGACATTCTGTCACCAGTTGACACATGAAGAGTTACTCTGACAACCTCTGAATACGCATTGACTGTGGACCAACTTATTCTCCATATTAACTGCATATTGAACTTGCCCCTTCTTGGCATTAGATTTTAGCTAGGCAAAGTTTTAATCTAATACTTTAATGGTGTACAACATGATTAAATTCTGCCTACAACTCCAAATATATGTACTACAGTTACATAAAAAGGATACTTTTAAATTGTCAATAATCTATTCCCACTCATATTGAAAACCAACTACAGATCTAATCCTCTGCTCATTGTCAATAATTTCTGTACTAATGCTTTCCATAGGGCCAAAGATCCTTCTGCTGTACTCAGTGAAGTTAAAATCTTTATACTACCTGATTATATCTGATTATTTTAGCATAAAGCTTTGGAATTTGTAAGTTAGGACCAATCTGAAAAGATGTTAGTTCTAAAATACATATTTATTTCCTATATTCATTATTTCTACTTCAGCTTTTAATAATTGACCTGAAGAATTGGTCAGTACACCACTAAAAAACCAAAACCCAACGTATTCACCGTGAAACAAAATAAACAAGAATATTATTAGCTCAAAGTTAGCACAACTATATTCATTATTTCTACTTCAGCTTTTAATCATTCACTTGAAGAATTGGTCAGTATACCAGTAAAAACCAAAAACCAACGTATTCACTGTGAAACAAAATAAACAACAATATTATTAGCTCGAAGTTAGCACACTTATTCATGATACTCTATTGTATATGATATGATGGCTTTATGGTAATTCTGAAGCTCTTGTTAATGAATCTCTCTGTTTCCCACCCCCTGCAGCATACAGTTTGAGATGAAAGAGTACTAAAAAATGCAAACACAGAAAAAATGTAATTAATGATATAAGTTCAAAACTAAGAAGAGACTGCATGGAATGACTGACCTTAAAAAAAAGCATACTGACATAAAAGGCAGATAAGAAATGCAGATGTAAAGCAATAAGGAAAATGTTGTAATGCTAGTGTATTGCCATGTGGAAAGGCCAAAGGCAACAGTACTTCTAGGAGCGGGGCCTATGCTTGACAGAAAACTTTCAAAAAAAATCTGAAATTTACTGTTAAAGTAAGTAATAAAAAAGCAGTAACAAAGGATTAAATTAAATCAAAGTGTGAAAAGCTACAGAAAATTTCCATGACAGAGTGACTGAGGAATAAAACTAATAAAAATCAATACATATATAATAATATATAAGGAAAAAAAAAACAACAACAATCTCAAGTTACATACCACAAGGATGAGCACTGAGATTGCATCCATACCTAAAAGATCCTTTTCTGAAACAACAGATTACATTTGTATTTCTGAAATGGGTGTGCAATACCCCTCTTACTACAAGAGCCAGGACACGCTGAACAGAGTTATCAAGTGTTAGGGTCAACACAAGCAAGACAAGGTCGTTCCTGTAGGCATTGATCAGTCATTGTCAAATACAGGCCGCTGTGTTAATACAGATAGGAAAGATTGCTTTTATAATTCCTAAAACAAAACTGGAACTCTCACAAGGCACAAAGGAATCCAATTTAAAGTTCAGAAAGACTGTATACTTTTTACATGATTTATAAGACACATAGCAGTCTGACTGATGGTTTTGAAGTATGAAGAATGTACAGAGGAAGTTTGTGATAAAATCTCAAACTAATAAAAGTTTTTAAATCCCTCCAAAAGAAAATATCCAAAACTTTGCTCACTTGCATCTAAAGCTACATTTCTGTAAAAAGATATTTATTTTAAACAGCTGGCAATCCAGCTCTCAACAGAATATTGTAACAAAACAGTGTTATAAAGTTAAATGTTTTTCATGTTTTAATTACAAAAGAGCCCGGTGGTACTAATACACTTTATATTCAGCAGTTATTATGCTGCTTATCCTGATTTTTTGGTCTATAAAATCTCAATCTGCAAAAAGAAAAATAATGCCATGGTCATGTTTGTTTGGTGGGGGTTTTTTGTTTGTTTTTTTCTTTTTAATTCAAATTAATACCCTTGAGAAGTGCAAAAAAACTGGGGAATGTGTAAGGAATTCACAGCTTTCTAACTGTTTTCAAGCTGTGATCCTTCCAATGCCCTATATTTACTCCTCTCATCACTACCCTCAGTAGTACACCTCATGGTACAAGAACAACTTCTTGTGTCTAAAATAGAAGACCTTGTTCTTTGTAGCAAGTGGATTTTTAAAATATAATGGTATCTGAGGAAGTTCTTCCTAGAAAACCTGTGTTTGCTACGTTAACTGCATTCCTGACACACAGCTTTGATGCTGTGAAGATGAGGTCTCAAATGCATATTTCTTGAGATGTGACATCATTCACAGATGGCATTAGATTTTAGCTAGGCAAAGTTTTAATCTTATACTTTAATGGTGTGCAACACGACTAAATTCTGCCTACACCTTCAAATATCATGGAAGAAGACCCATTGATCACTGAAGAAGCCACTTGGTGGCTGGTCACAAGTGGTGTTCCCCAGGGCTCAGTTTTAGGACCAGCACTGTTTAATATCTTTATTAATGATCTGGATAAGGGAATTGAGTGCACCCTCAGTAAGTTTGCAGATGACACCAAGCTGGGTGAGAGTGTTGAT